TAAGTTATTTAATCTTTCCTCCATTTTATTTTTATCGTTCATTATTAAATTCATCCTTTAAAATCGTTTGCTTATTATTCTTTCGTTATTTTCTTGCTTTTTTCATTCTACACTCATTTTCATTTTTAAATTAATTCTTTTATATCGTTTGTTTATTCACATTAATTCTCTTACGGCCTTTTTCTTTTATTCCTTTCTTAGTAATTCGTTATAAATTCATTCTTGTAAAATTTTTGTTTATTCCTTCTTTTGTTCATTTAAATTCAAACTTCCAAATCGTTCGGTTTCCTTTTTTTTTCATTTAAATTCATTCTTTAAATCGTTTGTTCTTTCTTTGTTTTGTTCATTTTGCTGCTCGTCGTTCGCTTCTTTTTTCAATCTATCTTCATTTTGGATCTTGTTCTTGTATCCTTTTTTTTTTTGTTCAACCAATACTCTCCTTCTGTCTACACATGTTTGGTGAGGTGCTATCTAAGTGAGTGAGCTTTATCATATTTGACCTTGTTCTCTTGATATTATATACACTTTTGATCAGTCGCCAGCGTTTATCTGATACATATTCTATATGCAAAACGGGAAATAAAATTATTCCTCCCAATTTTTTAAAAAAGCGATAAGGTCGTTCAAACACCCGATCAGTAAGTTTTTCATTTCATTCTCACTTCGTTTATTTTTTTCATTTTCTCATTCATTCTTCATTTGGGTATATTCTTCATTTCTTTCTCTTATTGTTCTATTATAGTTTGTTTTTCATTCTTTTTTTTCATTCTTTGAATTCTTTTCCTTCTTTCTTTTGTTTTTTGTGATTTTATTTTTTCTTTCATATTGTATCTTTAAAGAGGTTAGAAACAGACAATGGCAGTACTAGAGTGAAGGAGAAGCAACTCGCGCGTAGATAAAAAAAATAAGTTTATTGTAAAAGAGAATACACTACTGAAAGATAGAGAATCGGGTGGCAGGCTAGTAATTCGCATAACAAGGATATCTAGCAACGGTGACCCGCGGTCAGATGTGACACAAAGCCGAATTTAATGTGGGGCAAGCGAGCCCGTAGGTTCGGCCCCAAATTCACCATATAAAACGGGGTCGAGTAGCTGTTTCCCGAGACGAGACTCTGCCCTTCGACATAGCCTCGTCTACCCGACCCTATACCCGTAGACAGTTACCCGTCTCGTCCGTTGTTGCAGCTGTCTGCAACACCAGAAGAGACTCTACCCTTAGGCATAGACTTATCTCGGTTCCTCTCTGCCCGAAGGCAGATAGTTCAACCAGCATAGCGGGAGACAAATCTCCAGCTAATTGCCGAAGTAAGGATATTTACCTTACCTCCGCGAGGCAGGATGTGGCACAAGGCCATTTTTTAATGAGGGAAAAACTGAGCACGTAGGCACGGGTAAAAAAACCCCGTAGACACCGTAGATCGGGTAGCTGTCTACCACCCCAGACGAGACTCTGCCCTTCGACATAGCCTCGTCTACCCGACCCTATACCCGTAGACAGTTACCCGTCTCGTCCGGTGTTGCAGCTGTCTGCAACACCAGAAGAGACTCTACCCGTAGGCATAGACTTATCTCGGTTCCTCTCTGTCCGAAGGCAGAGAGTTCAACCAGCATAGCGGGAGACAAATCGCCAACTAATTGCCGAAGTAAGGATATTTATTGTACCTCCGCGAGGCAGGATGTGGCACAAGGCCATTTTTTAATGCGGGCAAAACTGAGCGCGTAGGCTCGGGTAAAAACGCCCCGTAGACCCCGTATACACGGGGTCGGGTAGCTGTCTACCACCCCAGACGAGACTCTGCACTTCGGCATAGCCTCGTCTGGGTTCCTCTCAGCTAGAAACGAATCTCCAACTAATTGCCTAAGAAAGCAATCCGGTATATCCTGTGCTCACTATATACATCTACTGATATAGTCAGTCCACATAGGTGATAGGGAGTGTGGGACATTCCATTACAACGCTCCCCCCCCTGAGCTAATTTTTCCATGGAAGTTTGCTCGATACCCTCTTCCTTTTGGGGTCAGGGCATAATTGTTTGACTTTCTTCCTCTTCCTAGTACTTTTCCGTCTCACCTGCACAAAATTTAATTAAATATTCGATTTCTTTTTCTTTCTTCCGCTGATTGCATTTTATCCCTTCTTCCTTTTATTTATGTTTTTTTTTCATTATTTGACTTCTTTTTTGCTCTTTTTCTTTCCATCTTTTTCTTATTCTTCTTTGTTGGACTTCTTTGATTTTCATTCTTTAATCGTTCCTTACTTTTAATTATTTTTCGTTCGTTTATTTGTAATTTTGAATATTCTTTCGTTAGTTTGCTAGTTCTTTCACGATTATTTTTAATATTCCTCTAAATATATTCTTTCATTCATTAATTCACATCTTGATTTTCTTCTTTTTACATTTTTTTCTTTCTGTTATTCATTCTTATTTCATTCTACAATATTTATTCCATTTCTTTTGATTATTTTTATGCTTTACCTAGTTATTTTTCGAATATTTTCTGTTGAGATGTTGAGTGTTTCCCCATGCGTGTATTGAAATAAAGACAAACACATACGTAGGGAAAAATACTGGTATATCTGAAGAGATATTTACAACAGAGAGATTAGTAGTCAAACGAACGCAGGTTAGTCAGTAACAATCAGAAAGAGTATAAAGTCCAACTGTATCTTCCGGTAGAGAGACGGAAGTGTGATGGTCACCTGATCTCTTTCAGAACTCTCTAGAACTGTCCTATTAGTAGTAGAGAGATCAGTCCATTCTGATGAGAAGGTGGGTGGCCCCAACATTTTCTTTCTTTAATTTTTCATTCATTCTTTTTTCTTTCTTTCTTTTTTCATTATAATATCTTGTAAATTCGTTGTTTCATTATCTTTATCTATTTTCCTTGCCATTTGCTACTTTTTCTGCATATAATAATAATAACCATAATAATAATAATAATAATAGTAGTAGTAATAGATTACCCTAAAGCCTTTGATAGTGTGCCACACCCTTGGAAAATGTACAACGTCTCCTTGGTGACAGCATATTTTCTTAAATATAGTATGTATCTGTGGAAAATCACCTGATACTTAAATCACACCAAAGGCGCTGCTACTTCCAGATGCCTGAATATCGGACGAGGATTCTTTGAAAGAGACTCTCTGTCACCGCCTTTTGTTTTGTCTGTCTTTAATACTGATTAAGAATGAACTAAACAATAATAGCTATGAATACAAAGTAAACAAGGAAATATTTAATCACCTACTCTACATGGTTGATCGTAAACTCTTTGTCAAAGACAGCAATTAGTTGAAAGGTCTCATCAATAATCTAAAATGATTCAGGGAAGACATTGGTATGGATTTCGAAGTGCAAATTTAGCATTCAAGAAAGGGAGAATTACAAGAACACATCCAATAGATCTAGATGTTGTCACAAAGATTAAGAAACTGGAACAAGAAGGAATTAGTGAAGGAGACGGAATACAGCATACCAAAACGAAGTAGGAAGTAAGAAAAGAATACCATAGATGTTAAATACGGTGTTGAATTCACAAAAGAGAATACATGCCAAAAACAATTTGAATGTACCTGTGATACAATACAGTTTTAACATCCTTAACTGGACCATAGCTGACATTAAGGGAATAGACGCCAAAAGGCTTCTTATTTGCCATCATATACATCATATCAAGGTTGATTTTGGTCATCTGTATGTGCCCAGATCCGAAGGAAGCAGAGGATTAGTTCAACTAGAAATGTCTTACAAAAGTGCAACAATTGATCTTCAAAGATACCTGGAAACTACAGAAGACTGGATGATGATCTGCGTTATAAGAACATGAAAGACGTAATAAGGGAAGCCAACAAATTCAAAATGGAAGTTCAAATGGGTGAAGAAATACAAGTAAAGCACACTACGTCGACTGAAGCAGAAAAATAATTAAGAAAAGAAATGAAAAAGCAAATGCAACCGACCAGATACAGCAACAATGGAAAGATAAAAAGCTTCACGGTCAATACTCTGCCCGTACCAAACAATCTGATGTAGACAAACCCCGTAGCCATCATTGGCTACGTAGTGCAGGGTTGAAAGCTGAAACCGATGGTTTTATTCTTGCAGCTCGGGACCAATGCTTGCTGACGATAAATTATCAAGCACACATACTGAAAAATTCTGTTAATCCAAAATGCAGATTCTTGTATCAGGCTGCACGCTATTTGCACCCACTCGAAGCTGAAACCAAAGGTTTTATTTTTGCTGCAGAACCCAACTGCTTCCTTACTAAAAACTATCAAGTACACATACTGAAAAATTGTGATAGTCCAAAATGTACGTCCAAAAACAATTGACAATCTTGTATCAGGTTGCATGGTATTGGCACCCATTGAATATAAACCTCAGCGTGACAGAGTGGGCCAATATATGCACTGGAAAATCTGCAACTTCTGCGGAAAGCAAACTGCAAGAAACCGGTATGAACACCAGCCAAGCCTGTTTACAGACATAGAGCCTCTAACAATTTTATGAGACTTTGCTATGCACACAGACAAAACAATCAAAGCTAATCAACCCAGACGTCAGGATCAGAGACCACAAAGGAAGAATCTGCCTTCTTATTGACATGGTAGTCTCTGCATATTGTAACGTATCTTTGAAGGTCTCCAAACATCTATCAAAATAAAAAAAAACAACAACACTGAAATGGAAATCTCAAAGATGTGGCACATGAGGGCATCAATAATTCCAGTTTTAGTAAGAGTCCTCGGTTTGATTAGAAAGGGTTCCCATTTCTGGTAGACCAAGCCTTAAAGAAATACAATAAAAATATACTCACAAGTACGGCTCACACATTACGGACTTCATTTATGTAAAATGTACAGTGCTGTTCGATAAAAGTGACTCACCTGATTTTTTTTTTTACTTATGGAGCATAAGTACAGGCTCTCGAGAAAGAAAATGAGCAACATTCCCCATAAGTTTTCTATGGGGTTGAGGTCAGGAAAATGGGGCG